GGCTGCGGCTACGGGAGCGTCCGCGGGAGCTCTTCGAGTCGGATCTAGAGCGAGAGCGAGAGCGGCTTCGCGAGTACGAGCGCCGCTTCGACCGCGAACGAGACCTGGATCGACGACGTGAACGAGACCGAGAACGCGATAAGCTAAAAGAAATAACCATGACACAACACTTAGTTCACTCAATTACTTTGTCAGTGTTAAGCCGATTTGTTACATTAGGCCGGAGAAAAAGTTTGCAACTAAAAATTGTGAGTAACAAAATCATGCAACATTAGAAACATCTCTCGAACATTCTCATAAAACATGGAAGATGTTGGACAAGCTGAAATTGTGCAAAAATTTCTTAAAGTACATAAATGTAGCTATGTTTATCCATTAGAAAGGATATTTTAAAAGTTTTCAATACCATTTTATATATTGTTATAAGATTAAAAAATTAGCTGTTTTTTTCTGCACAATTGACATTTCTTATATAATAACTTAGTAAAGTAATGTGTTAAAGATCTTATCAAGTTTAAAACATTTCATATCATAACACTTATCAGCTTTACGTTTCTCTACCAAATTGAATCATACAATAGGATTTGATGATTTTGGGGTTGAAAATATGTCCTTAGATTAATAAAGTTAAGATTGCTCGTGGGTCATCACTATCAGAATACAAAGTGCCTCTTGGAGGGAAACTAACTTCCATTTGGACGCCATGTTGTGAAGAAAAATAATTAGTTGGATATCATTGATAGCATGATTACAAGGAATTAAAGATATCTGACCAAAGTTACATTAAAAATTCTATTAAGGAATGTAATTATTACCTGCGACGGCGATCGTAACGACTTCTGTATGGTGAAGAGGGGCGTCCATAACGCGCCATTTGTACACGAAGCTCCCTGCCATCTAACATCCGTCCGTCCAAAGAATCCAGCGCGTCTTCAGCATCTCGCCTATCGAAGAACCTGAAAATAACCACAATTAAAACCATGTGTGTAAGATATATAACAAAATGGCGGGACCTTTTCTTATAGAAATTAAATGAAAATAATTTTATTTTTACCTCACAAAAGCAAATCCTCTGCTTTCACGTGTATATCGATCTCTCGGAATATATATGTCGCCAACGTCGCCACACCTTTCGAATACTCTTCTTAAATCTTCTGCAGTGGTCCGATATGTTAAATTGTCTACTTTCAATGAAACCATGCCATCTATACGAGGCGGTGGCCTGCCGTAACTCATTTTGATATTGTTTTAATCCTCTGTATAATAATTAAAATCAGTGGAACCACAAAACGAAAGGCAAGCAAAATGGCGTCACTAAAAAATCCAGAATTGTGCACTTTTACAAAGACAACCGCGTCCAAGCCATGCAAATCATAGACTAAATTTCAATTTTCACTTCCTTTTTCCTTTTTAACCTTAGTTTATGGTTCCTATTTGTCTATTGAAAAATGTTGTGTTGCCATGCCCTAAAGAGCTCTGGTACTAAGAGAAATTAAACCTTTATCCTTTATCTATGTCTACCTGTTTTATACTTCATTGATTGGAAAGAAAAAATACAAATACCTCTAGAGCTTGTAACTAAGTACTATTTGTATAAAACATTTATCATTGATATTTTTAAGACATAACAATTATACAAGCCGTATATTGTTGCCATGGTTATTTACAAGTTTGTACTCAAAATTGTTCAAAAGTTCAAAATGACTTAAAATATGACAAAATTCTGTAAATTCTAAATTGAGCTGTAGAAAATTTTATTTATCAAGATCTAAAAAACAAAGTCGAGTAAATTGATGGTAATTAAAATTCACAACATGGCTGGGGTAAAGCAAGTCAGAAATAAAAAGCTTCTTCCAGACTTGCGAAAAGAAGGGCATCTATCTAAGGATATAATATTGTCAACAAAAGAGAAGCATGGAGTATCAGCAGGCTCCAGGCTATTTTCACACCACACATTAGCCAGTGTTAGGAGATTAAGTTTCTATCACCCATTCTCGTAAGTAGATCTTTACCCCAGGATATTACAACACTGTTATTATTGCTTACCCAGAACCTAGGACCTTAAGAAAACTTGTAAATCTTGTCTAGAGCCTTCTATAATCAACGATAAAATACACTTCATCATTTTGATATTTTAAAAGTTATTTAACATAACTTATACAGAATTCCAGAAGACAGTTTGGACATAATTCTAGCTGCAACTTATGACCACTCCTATGAGCATTTCGCCGATAAAGAAGATTTGTATTTGCAACCAGAAACTAGAGGTTGCGAAACTTGGAGACGTCTTAGGAACACTATCGGCAAGCCACCTAAGCCGAAGATACCTTTAGTAAGTTTTCTCTTGTAGTCTTGACATAGTTATTCTCAACAGGAATCAGCTGATCGTAATGCTTCATAAAGTTTAAAACGAACGCATTTTTTTTTCCAAAAAATCGTGCTGCTAGAACATTTTTATGTAATTTTTAAAGACATTTCTGGCCCGCACAGCCGCGTTCTGGAATGGTCTGTCCTCGGCGATATTTCCAAACCAATACGACTTAAGGTTCTTCAAGAAGCGAGTCTACAACTTCCTCAAAAGCCGGCAACGCATCTGTTGTCCCTCTGGTGTTGCGGATGTCCATGGGCGTCGTTGACCACCTCTGTGTTCCCGCCTCTCGTTTGCCCTTTCTCTTATAAAAAAAAAATAGAGTTCCATAAACAGTGGAAATCCACGGTTATTTTTGATGAGTATACGTTCATTTGACTTGATAGTTAGCAATTATTTAGATTCAGTTATATCTCGTAAAGTACTTAAGTAATACTTATGTTTAAATTCCTTTTTTCCAGGGCCATCCTATGAAGCGCGGCGGAATCACTGAAAGGAAATCACCGTTTAGCGTAAAACTGATGAACTCCGGCGTCCACTCGTCGCAGACCAATCCTGGTTACAGCAGACAGCCTGCGGGTGGAGCAATTTTCTTCTATTAACTTCGTTTGATTATAAATTTGTCTCGGATTAAATGTATAATTATAATTTGTTTTGTTATTTGAGGTTCTGTAGCCATTAGCCGTCAGTTTCGTCATATTAACCTAAACACTCAAAGCAACCTACGCCCGTAGTATGTGGATTATCACAAAATATAATTCCAATTCAGCTCGCGGTCGGTCAAAGTTGGTCATAGATATATTTATTTATCCATCTGCCGTTATATTTGAATTCTCTTACCCGTTTTAAATAAATGTAAACAACGTTTTAGTAGATACGATAAATGACCGTTGTTTAAATTAATTGATACTTTTTAACACGTTTAGTTCTAGAAATATAACCTCTTTTACAAATAAAACTTGCTGTATGCAAATCTGTCATAATATCTTTTGTTTCTCAGAAATTATGTGACTTTCGGCAAATCACCATCATAGATCTTCATAAAAATATATTGATTTTGTAATCGTAACTATTTCTAAATTAATATTTCCGATAGTGTTGTACAACCCGTGTTTGTGACAATGTGCTTATGCTTTAAATAAATATTAACTATTTTTCCACGGCAATAATCTAAATAAATGGAAACGCGACGTGAGTTATGTTTTTATTATTCGCTAGTAAATATATAAAAATGGTTTAATCCACAGTTTATTATTTACTCCTGTATTTTTAAAGATAAATACAAATATTTTAATATTTAGATCCCGCTAAAAAGGCCAAGCGAGTCCAGTCATGGTATCTATACGAGCAATACAAATCACTGGAGAAAAACCAAATTGACGGAGCACAAGTGTTGAGAGATAGAACATGTCAAGAGAAGATATTGTACAAGGAGTTGGAGGAGCGACGCGCGCGGCGGCATTATTGCAACCAGCTGGGGTCCTGCCAGAGCGAGGGTCGCATGCAGAGCTGCATCGGCAGCGAAGCGGGCACCCTCACTAGTGTCAGCACAGACGACTTCATAGACAATTTCTGCGGCTTTCAAGAATCAGACGAGACCATCGTAAATTCAGATCAAACATACGATGTCGCTTACGAACGAACCAAATATAACGCGGAAGAACCCTCCAAAACTTTAGAGAAAGAAATCGAGACCAATTCAGACCTTCCTACAGAGTTGAAGGTGGTTAAGCAAAATATCGAAGACAGTGTTAATATGCAACTTGAAACTATGAAAGAAAATATTCAGAGTTTAGAGAAATATGCTAAACAGTCTTTTGTAGATAAAACCGAGAAGCCAATAGTGAAATCTCTGAAACATTGCACCATTTACAAAACGGCGGAGTATGACAATAGTTTGTTGGCGATATGGTCTGGTTTGGTCTCTTTTGCTTATCAAGTAATGCGGCTGAATCGTGGTAACTAACAACTTACGTACCGTACGTATGGAATCTTTATGTGTATCATCTTATTCCAGGGTTCTTTATTTGATTTTCTAGGCAATTGTTACTACGACTGCAGCACTCAACTTCTGACCGCTGTGTTGCTTTGCGACATTCTATGGAAGGGGGTAAATAAAATGTGTAAGTGCAAATTATTATGAAATTAAATTACTTCTTAATTGTGGTACTTAAAAACGATGCTGTATTTCCTTAAAATAAATTAGTAAAATTGAAATTCAAGTTATAAGTATGTAATCTAATAAAAATATCAGCTAGGATAGTCATTCTCGCTACGAAATCATTCGGCTCAATGAAGTGAACAAAGTTCGAAGAAAAAAAAACAGTGAAAAAGCTGAGGACATTGATGGATTTTCATAATTAGGTACATCTGTTTACGTTTGTAATAAAAGTTTTTTTGATGTTAGTCTTGGGGCTATTTCAGCATGATCCGCAGCACAAGCAACGTATCCAAACAAGAATTTCTTTGTGGAAATCCATTTCGAAATTACAGGCGGTAATAATAACTTACAAATGATTACTCAACCAACATTTAGAAAATATTAAATTTTAGGTGATATTTTGCAGCCCTACGTTTCGCCTATTAAATTTGAAAATTACGAACTCGACATCGGCAACAATAATTACAGAAAGAGACATTACACTCCCTCACATGTATCTAAAGGAACACAAAGATCAAGCATTACAAAGGTAACATGCGACGAAAACGGTGACATCTCAAGAGATAACTATCACTGTATTCTTTAGAGATGTAACTTTATTCGTCGGATGGGGCAAAATGTCTTACATTGTTGATTAATGATATAAGTTTATGTGTATCTATCAATATTTGACGTCCAGAAGACCATTTTAATACACTTCCTATTGTTATTCTCTGTAATTTATGGTAAAATATCAACATAGATAACTAACGTTGCATAACATTTTGTAGGAACACATAAAATTGATAAACAGTGGACGACGGAATAGAAGAAATGTAAGAAATAAAATAATAGATGATGGCCATGCTTGTAATTGTTTAAGAAGCGTTGAAACGTTTTCTCCCAGAATACGGATGTTCAACAGTTCGACGACAAACAGATGGCTCGAGGAGAGCAATCTACCAAAGCGTTCGTGTAGTCAAAATTGTAGTTGTCGTAAAGTGAAGAAAGTTGTTAATCCTATGATCAAATTGTCTCGATATATAGACAGCGTGTTAAAAGATCTTGAAGAGTAAAAAAATGTTTTGTTGTTAATAAATATATACCACCCCAATTTGTGTCTATTATTAAAAAAAAACTCACCAATCTTATAAATGCAAAAGTTTAGATGGATAGATGTTTAGAGTTTGTAACCTAACCGGCTAAACGGATCTCTATGAAAGTCATAGATTTCATCTAAAACACACATGCTGCTTTTGTTTTTTAATTCCACGCGAACGGAGTTGGGGGCGAAAGTTAGTAAAGCATTGAATATAGTCTGAAAGTGATAATTCCCCTTTGTAATCAATCATCATGTAATCATCCCACTTTTAAATATCATATTTAAAAGTGGGATGAAAATGGTAACTGTATTTGTTTTAATTTGGCTGATGAAACAAAAAAACATCGATTTTTATAATCTTTATTACACAATTATCTGTACAACAGTTAATTTAAACCATAACATTGATTTTAACATGAAAAAAAACCCAGTCACCTTTGATTTCATTGAATTCGTTACAAAAGCTCTAAAATAATTGGTACATAACGATGCAATTAATTTGAAAAGTACATTATATGTTTCTTACACGCTAAGTATGATTTAGAACAATATTCGTGCGATATGTTAATGATTTTTTATTTTATTTTAAAAATATGAATATGAGAAAAAAATATCTGATATTTAAAAGTATTGATATTTTTAGTACAGTTACGAGACAATATTGGGGAAAACAATCGTAGGTTTTCATTGCAGAATCAAACAATAGATTTTTGCAAAGACGAAAAAGCAGTGATAACCCAAGATAATAAACTCAAAATTAAACCTTTTAACCCTTGTTTCACCGTATAAAATACTGTTAATAGCTAATATACTTGGCAGTGATAATACAATACAGTATACTATTATTAGCTAATGTGTATGAGAAAAAAACTAAAATGGACCTAGCGAAACTTAAAAAAAAAACTTTTATTGTTTATGGACGATATTAGCCGCACGCAGAAAGTTTTTAGCTGTCAGTTAACGTGTGACGTTAACGTCTATCGGCAAAGTTTCTACAAGGATAATAATAAATGTACTGGTGAAAATAACCGCTGTTTCCACTGCACAATAAAAACAATATTCGTTGTTTTAAAACAGATAACTGTTTCTGTATCGTTTTATCTGCAGTGAAAACTCATATTTACTTAATTAAAAAGTTATTAATATTACAGTACAAGTTACTAATTTTGTAATAAAGAAATAAAAATTACGTTTAATTTTATTGAAATAAAAAATACAATATAAATAATATGCGACAACTTTTAAAGGTGAAGATAAGATTATGCTAAGAGCGGGCGCACCTTTGACTAAACTATCGCACAACTGTCGTGCGATTGTCGATTGTTTTGCAGCCAATTCAACTGTTTAGTTGTACAACTAAAAATCGAGTAGTGTGCGCACCTCCATATAAGCTCATAGGAATCAAAGCGCAACTAAACAGTTCTGCGATAGATTACTCAAAGAAGTGTAGGTTATAACTTGACAAAAGTAAGATGAACCATAGACAAGGGATTGGATTTTGTTCTCCCGTTTTGTCTTTGGCTCTAGACCTTCAAATGCGGTCTTCATTAATACTTTACACCGACAGTTTTCAAGTTTATACATTTTTTCTATTAATTTAAATTTAATTACCTACAAAATATACATAAACGCTAGCTAGAAAGGTAATTAAAAAGAAAACATTATTAAAAATAATTTTATATGTATACAAGACAAATATATTTAACTCTATATTTTATATAACGGTTTACATAATTGACTATTACAAATTAAGGTATGTGTGAAAAAATAAATCCGAAATGTGTCTGTACAACTCAACTCTGTAGTTACAGAACATCTACAAAAAAGGTTAAATACAGTCAAATTCAATGGAAATTAAAAATAATACCAACCTTTCAAAGCAATTTCAAAGATTATGAATGTATTAGAAACAGTTATGTAAAATTAACGAAAACATTGCAATTTTGGTAAAATAAAACCATAGACAGTAAATAACATTTTCAGCGACAATAAAAATATAATTCAATAGAATTTATTATTTTTAAAACAAAATGTGAGCATAATTCTGGCAATCGTTAGTTTTTTCTTTTTTTGTTCTTTTGCGAACAAATGACATAAGATATTTCGGAAATTATTTTTTGCATTTCATAGTAATTATTATCTAGCTATAAAATCTCAGTACAAACTCATACATCTATTATTTTATCTGATTTATTTATTATTCGTTTATTTATTGTTTATTTTTAATTAAAGGCCATCATTAGTCTTATCTAAAACGAGTAATATTATTTTTTTTATTGACAATTTTCGCTTTTGAATATTTTTTTTTGGATATTTTCGATTATTTGTTATTATTGCTTGCTACTAAATGATTCAATGATCAGGGAATATATTGTACCAATTCCAACAAGATATTAATCATACAAACATAACATGAGTCCTGCCAATAATTACTTGTACAGTGTGCAAAAAAATTACGTGTAATAAATCAGCTATATCAACAAATTTTATCACCGTATAAACAACAAATTATTTTAAATTCCACGCAAATATTATGTTATTATGAATGAGTCGCATATCTCACAATAATGCTACACAGGGCCTATCATGAAAATACGTGAGAATATATTCGTAACGTAATCGACTTTTGCATCAGTTTTTGTGCAGCACGGTCGTAACTCCAAAAAATATCATAAAATTTTTGTCGATGACGTTTTAAATACGTTATCAAAACTGTCACGTAAACATTCGTGATGGAACCTCAGTAACTTTCACATCCGAGAATCCTACACAAGTGATATTGGCAGAATTGAGTGATTTTATACAGATTATCGTAGTCTCATTAGAGGAAAAACTTTGAAACATCATAAATAGATAAATAAGTATAAATTAATTCACAAGTTTTTATTACCTATGAATGTTTTTTTATATCTACAAATAACCAATTATCTATCGAATTAGGATCATTTTTTTTTCATAAAATCGCGGTGTTTTATTTTTCAATATTAATTATGTATTACACTATGCAGAATTTTATATCGTATTCCAATGGAAAGTACCGTATTTGACTATAAACAAATATTTAAAGATAAACAATTTACTATTAAATATACTGATGTTTGTATATCGCTTACACTAATTCGTCCAAACGTAAATGTACAAAACTTTATTATGCAGATTTTATAGAAAAATAAATAAAATAGAAAATACATCACAAGTTTGCAAACTTAGTTAACCATAGAACTCTACTGCTTTGATATAATGATAAACTAACTTTACCTCCTGACTTTGTTTGAGCAGAATAAAAAAAAAAAAAGTATAAGTTCTACATCTGTGTCAAATTTCATTTTAATTCGTTCAATCGTTTTGTACATAAACAATAATAAACATACATTCATCTATACTTTCGCATTTTAAATATTTAGTACTAACTGTTGCCCGCGACCTCGTCCACGCAATATTAAGATAAAAAGTAGTCTAT